TATACATATTTTTGTGTCCTACTGCTGCCGTACTGTTGAAAAGAAGAGGAAATTCAAATTTGAGCCGGAAATCATCTTAAAGCTCGGTAATGAGATACATATAGGTCAACTTTTGAGTTAAATTTATTTTATTTAAATTAATTGATAGTGAAGAATTTATTAGGATTATATTAGAAGAGATGAGATGTGATACTTGAGGAATAATGATTATAAGATGGTTGTCAAAGTATTTGAAGAAATTGAACTTAATTTTTGAATATCTATGGAGATTCATTAATTTTTATAGAAATATGAAATTTAATTTAAAAGTTGCAAAGGATATTTCCCTATAAAATTTATAATGGGATTTTTTTTTTAAATTTTTAAAGATGGATAGTTGTTGAAGAAATATTGAATGTTACTATTTTTATGAGTAGATTGAAAATAATTTATGTTAAGTGTATTAACCAAATGCTAGTGAGGATTTTTTTTTTCAAAAAATCTCAAATGTATTATAGTTTAATATTGGTAGTGAGTGAGGTTGGAAAAGGATTGAATAAAATTTTAATATGATTTATAGGGAGTTTGGAAGAGAAAAAATTGGATTACAGTTGAGGGGAGAAATTTGAATTCTGAAAATTTCAGATAAGTAGATAGTATCCAAACTGATTTTCTAATAAAATTTCTTTTACTAAAATATTATATTTGTATGCAAATCATTTTATAACAACAATGTGAGTATTTGATTATTTGTTGATTAAACTTCTTTATTTAATGAAATTACCTTTATTACTTTTGAAATGTTAATTATTCAACAAATGCAAGTTTGGACTTTGATTAGGGGATTTCATTTTGAAAAGTATTGAATTGCTATGGAAAAATGACTTATACAAGTTTGGCATTGAAAATGAAAATTTTATTTTGAAAGTGATGATTTTCTTGCATGTTTGAAAATGAATTTGAAGGGGACTTTATACAGAACACTGGTTGCTAACGATAGTTCCATTAGCCTTTGGCGCACTATAGTAAACAACTAGTTAGTTTGATTTTTGTGAGCTCTGTTCTCACATTTATTATTTGTGACTCTTATACTCACATTTGTTTTCATGACTTTGAGCCGCGTTTGGTTAGCATTACCCTCGTGGATTGTGTGTATATGTTTGTTTCATAGCTTTGGCTGTATTTGGTTACTTACCCTCGTAGACTATGTGTCCACGTTTGTTTTCGTGGTATAACCCACGTTTAGTTATTTACTCTCGTGGACTGTGTGTATACATTTGTTATTTATTCTGATAAATCCTTATAATTACAAGTTTTTAATTATTTGATGAATCTATTTTACAAGTTTGATTAGTTACATATTTATAATTATTTAATGCAGTTACTTGCTTTATTGAAATTAAATGATAATAACATTTGATATGATACTTTAATGAATCAAGATTTTATTTAAAGTTTCATAAAGCCCTTCGTGTTGAAGTTTATTAAATGTTTGTTTGCGAAAATTGTTATCTCTAGCACACATAATTATTTTAAACTTTCTTTTTATACATATTTAATTATTTATTATTGGGATGCTATTCATTAAAAATTTATTTTAGTCTTAGATTCATTAGCTGGCGCTAATCCTATTGTTGACCTCTAAAGGGCGAACAATTGTTTTAGGTGGTGGTATTTCGCTTAGTATTATCTTCTTTTGATATAAGCATTTGAATTAATGTATTTTATTTTGAAAGTAAAGTTAGTTAGCTCCACATAGCTTATAGCCAGGTTTCTATTGTGGTATATATTGTTTGCTGGCTCCTGATTGATATTATATTTTGTGTAAAATATTGATAGATTAAAATTTGAGAGATCCTATTTATTAGGGAGGTTTTGCCGAAATTTCTATAAAAATATTAAAATTTTTAATATAATAATTTTATTAAACATGTTATAATTTTCAGTACAAATTCAACTATGTTTTAAAATGAAAAAAAAAATTTTAATTTAGGGCTTAAGAGATGTGTGATATAGTTTACATCCCATACCGGTTACCCTTTGTTTTTGGAACATGGGAATGTCTCCAAAAGAAATTTGTTTCCAAATGTAGCATTTTCTAGTTGCGCTTGTTTAGTAGGTTATGCATCATAAGAAAAGCTTAACTTTGTGTTTATTTTTTGCTCTGGGATTGCTAGATTGGATGCAATGGCATCTACTTGTTTGATGAAATTCCTGTGCTTGAAATTCAAGTTATTGTCATCTCCATTTTCTTGTGCATTTGATAATTTTTTTCCCCTATCGAGTTAATGTCGTGTTAATTCGATCATATTTGAAGCTTATACATATTTTCCTTTGTATTGTAGTTTAGAAATCTTTGAGTGCCAAGTTTGTTGATACTAGCCGTTCAATTATGAAACATTTTTTGTATATGCTTGCTATGTGGTTAAAGAAGTTGAATCCGTCTCTATTTCTGCAACATTTACACAGCCTTCTTAACTTTAAACTTTTGTCTTTTCTTACTTGGATTTCTTTAAATGTAGATAGTGAACTATATTATCTTTATCGTGCTTTTACTTGAGCACTGAAATATCTGAAAAATTACATTCCCGTTGGGTGCCCTGTGTAGTCTGCTAGCCATGCATGGCCACTTTTGACTACTACTAGGATTTTACAAGTCCAATCGAGCACAAAAGATTAAGGTTTTGGATCACCCTAAATTCATGTAAATCTTATAAATTGTGACTGATGCTATGTGAGTGACTTATTAGATTGTTCACACCTTGATATCATATTTATTAATTAAACTGCTTACTCTTGCAGATATACATAATTCCATCATTGTATGCATGTAACTAGAAACTATATTTCGATATGTGTCAGTTTTAGGTACATGTCAATGATCTGTTAGTTTGTTTCATGTGCAAGTATGAGCAATTAGCAGAGGATATTGAAAGCTACGTAGGCAACAGAGTTTCCTGTGCCAACAGCTCCAATGCTATGAGATGAGCTGTATCCTTTAACACTATTTTTGTAGTTTAGACTCTAAGCCAGACAAAGAAGCAGACCACATGTTGAAATCTCGTGTTGAATTTAACGTCAGAATTTTGGAAAGACTGTTCACAATGGGTAGGCTTAGAATAAACTCATCTTAGTCGGGGTTAAACTATTCATTCCACTTTCAAGGTTCATAAGCTATTAATACCTCCCCAAATTCTCTATTTTTTTTAATCCAACATATCACAATTTTCTCATAGTTTTATATACATTTATTTGTTTCAATATCATTTTGGATAAATTCATGTGTTATAATTAATAAAACAACCTATGGATCCAATGACATCCATTTTTTTTTTCCTCTTTAGCCTCTTGTATGAGGAGACAACAATTAGTGTAAGAACATGTGGCAACTAAACAAATGGCTTTCTTATGAAGATTCGACTGCATTAGAGATCATTTTTGAGTCCTTATTTGTTTGATTTGATCTTAGATGTTTTGATTGAACATATTCAAGGAGAAATCCTAAATGTATATTTTTCACGGATGATATAGTTCTTATTGCAAAAACAAGAGAAGAGATTAACTGTAAATTTGAGTTAATGAGAAGAATATTGGAATTAAAAGGCTTTCGCTTGAGTAGAAGTAAGACAAAATATTTACATTATAATTTTGATAAGAAATCAATGAATATTAATTTGAAAATGAAATTGGGTGATGAGATTACACCTCAAGTGAAAAAGTTTAGATATTTGGGAGAAATTATTTAACATAATAGGGAAATTGATGAAGATATTACACATAGGAGACAAGTTGGATGGTTTGATTGGAGAAACTTTAAAAGAGTTATTTGCAATCATAACGTATCTAATAAACTTATAGGAAAAATTTTATTGAACTGTGAATGTTGGGCTTTAACGAAACAAAAAAAGCATAAATTTAGAGTAGCAGACATGAAAATATTGAGATGGTTGTGTGGACATATAAATAAAGACAGACAAAATCAGAAATTAGCACATATGAGAAAAAGTAGGTGTCACATCTATTAAAGGGAAAATGATAGAAAATCATTTGAGATGATTTAGACATGTATAAAGAAGACCACGAGAGGCACTTGTGAGGAGAGTGGCACAACTTTGAGCCTTATCAAGAAAGGTAGAGGAAGGCTAAAGAAAATACTTTTGAAAGTTATTGATCGAGACCTCTTAATTAATAATATTTTTAAAAACTTAATAAATGATAGAGTACAATGGTGTTGGATAATTCATATAGCCGACCCCACCTAACGAGATAATGATTGTTGTTGTTGTTATTGTTGTTGTTGTGTGCGGTTGGATGCATGAGGTTTGGATTTGAACTAAATCCTCCATTTGGATACATAAAAGTCTTTGAATTTGTATTTGATCCAAATTTAAATGCATGTTTTATTATAACTTTTTTTTGTAATTTTAAATTCCACCTAGACCTTTGTTATTTGAAATTTTAGCTAGTCAACCCTCTGTTTTGCTTCACATTTTCACTATGGGTGTCTGTTATTTTTGCCACTTGTCTCATCTCTCGTTCTCGTATCTTTCTAATTAAAGAATATAGATAAGCTCATTACTTTCAATCTCCTATCTCTATTTCAAATCTCAGCTCATCTCTCTTACTTTTATTTTTATTTTTTACACTATTTAAATAAAGAATTTTAAATACATGGATTTTAAATGTGAGATTTTAAAACTAAAATTTAAATTCAAATCCATCAATCCAAATGTTACCTAGGATAAATCAAACCAAACTTGAAAATTCTTCTATCAAATTAGCTAATGAAGTATCATCTCCAAAAAAAAAAAATTGAGCAATGAGTGGCAAACAGTTTATGATAATGGTCCACCTAAACTAGTATAATCAAACTACGACAAACTACACATAAAATATCAACTAATCCAAGACATGATCTATAAGATAAGAGCCAGACTAGTGCAATCTTCCCTTCTTTTCGGTTGTTATCTTTATTTGAAAAGTGGCTAAAAAGTACATTGTCTTACAAGCATTTTTGTTCTTCATTTAGTGCCCTGTTTGTCTATGCTCTTTTTTGTTTCATCCATCGCTTTCATCTTCTTAACCTTCAACTTTCCATAACTTCCTGAAATTGGGATGATCATCTTAAAAATAAAGTTAGAGATGTGATGAAAGAACAGAGCACGTTCTCCTAAAAGGAAATTTGAAGAATAAATGCACCCAGAAACATCAAAAGGAAGATGATTCCATTAATCATCACAGTGTTAGTGAGCTAGTAAACATTGCTCACTACTAGATGTACCGCAACCATGAATGCAACTGACATTGTAATCAGAGCCAAACTCGCCAAATATAAAGCAAAGTATGTGGCATTGAATGCTATATGGAAGTCACCAAGCTGAGCCCATAGCAGAATAGAAGACCCCATGGTAGAGCTATACATAGCTATCACATCACAAATTGTGAATAGTTGGAACATGTATTTGTTAAGAAAAGTGGCCATGCCTCTTTTCTTCATGTCTTTGTCATCAAAGCTATAGACACCACTAGGCATGGTAAAACCAACTGTGAAGGTTACAGTGGCAACTAATATTGCTACAAGTAAGATAGCGTTGACACGATCCTTGATCCATTTAATCTGAGGTGGTTCAGTATGTGATCGCCTGATTCTTCTTCCATTTTCACTCAAGGGGGTGCCAATAGATTTCAAGATTGTGAATGATAGAAACTGCAGATAACAGAGGGAGGAACCCTGTGATCATCCCTATTATTAAATAGTTTTTTATCTTTATTAGTAAAAATAAGAACAAAGATGGATTGTATCTTTGTTGAAAATTACTAGTTCGTGATTAAAATAAGTGCAGAGATACATCTAATCATACCTCTCTAAAAGTTGGTGGTGTCCTCCTCTTGAGCATGACAATATCACGGGCTGTCATGCCTTCTTTATTCACTAGGTTGTTGTTGAGTCTCTTTTCTTGAGTCAGCAATAGCAATATCTTCAGGTTCAAGTGTTTGGAAGCCAAATGCAATGGGGTATTCCCATTCTTGTCTCTTTTGTTTGGTAGCTTCTTAAGCTTCTTTTCTCTTAATATATACTTTACTACTTTGTCTTTTCCATTTTTTTGCTGCAATATGAAGGATATTTTGACCTTTTTGATTCAGTGAATCCATTGGATCAAACCATGGTTTTTGTTTTTGAACAAATTCTTCAACCACATTAACGTGACCTTTTTTGCAAGCAATATGGATAGGAAGATATCCTTTCAGATCCCACTCTAGGGCACTTGGAGGACACTCATTTAAAATTGTACGCACAACTTCAAGGTTTCCCATGGATGCTGCTAAATGCAGGGCTGTCCCACCTCTCTGGTCTTTCAAGTAGATTAATTCAGAATTTTTTCTCAGTATTTTCTCTGAAATGCATGAAATTAGAACAATAAAAAACTAATGTATTTGAATTGAAAAGAGGAAATGGAAGGATTTTTTAAAGGAGAATTAGAACAAGCTAAATGCCCATGTCAAAATCGTTCCTTATACATTTTCTGCTCTCTCTCTCGCGCTCTCTCTCTCTAGAGCCATAGTCTTATAATCTTGCAATTATCATAGGTTTAGATGTTCATTTTTGTGAAACTGATATAACTTCACTGAAATCAGAGTAATTCATCATACCACAGTAAGTTTTTTTCCTGTTGTTGGGGAAGCCTCGAAATTTATGGCACTGTCTGTCACCCAACCCTCGAGTCTCGACTAAGGGTTGAAATTTATGTTTGCTTATTTGACCTGCACAGAATATTGTATAAAAGTTTAAACAGGGTTGAAATTATTGGCACTTTCTTTCTGATTCCCAAAAAAATAATAATAATGATAATTGGCACGCACTTTCATTTTGCTCTGTCAATTTTCAACTAGACCATTTCAGTTCACCTTACCTGAACTCACAGCCATAATAGCAGCATGGAGTGGGGAGGTTTCATGGTGCCTCTCTCGATTCTGTAATGGAGCTTGCAGCAAAAGATCAATAATATCATCATGCCCGGTCTCAACAGCCAAGTACAGTGGTTATTTACCTTCATTATTCAGATAATTTGCCACATCTTTATCTGCTTCAGACAAGAGACGAGCACCGTTAAGATGAAGTTTCCACACAGCCTCATGCAATGCCGCGTTTCCAATCTCATTCTTTATCCTCAACAGATTCATCTCTGTTTCATCATAAATTGGGCTTCCAGAAGAAAGCCTTCCTTCTGCATAACAGGTTAGGATTATATTGATTAAACCATCGCCCTTATTTCTAGCAGCAAGATGAAGAGCCGTATTTCTTGCTATGTTAGTCCTTGTGATTAGTTGAGGGAAGTGATTTGCAATTAGTCGCAAAATCTCTTGGCTTCTATTTTGAACTGCTAGGTGAAGTATGGTGCTTCCTCCACAGGTTACTTGCTCCACGATGTCTGATGCATGCATTTCATCCTCCGAAGCCAATTCCTCTAACACTGTAAGGAAATTAGACACGTTATCGGACACATCTCTTCTTTTAACAGCCCAAAACAACTCAGGTGCCATTAATTTTGATGCTCCGAATTCTTCCTTCATGTGTTTTGATTCTGAAGGTGCTGGAGGATTCCCACTAGTAAGTTTTCTCTCTCGATATTTCAAACCCTCTATTCTATTCTCCCATGTTTCTCTCAGAGCTTAGAATTGATAATCTAGGAGTTGTTGTAGAATGACCCATTAGACCAGCTACTGCACACTGTTATTGTATCAAACTAGCATTTATAGGTCTTCCTTTAAAAGTAGTCTAGCTGTGAAGTTTCCAGGTAGCGAAAGCTTCATGCAATGTGTGGTGAAAGACATAAAATATAGTTTAGATTCTCATGTCCGCAGATTTTGTGAAGACTCTGGAAGGAAGGAAATGTCCATTGCGTTGCGGGGAAACCCAACCACTCATACAGACATTAACACTTGTGACGTTGCACGGTAGATGCATTATTTTCAAAATCCAAATACTCCACCAGTCTATTTGATTAAAAAAAATTAAAACTAAAACTAAACACACTAAGACCAACGCCTAATGTGAAAAGTAAATAGATCCGTCCAAGGCTTTGAGGGTTCTTAGAAGCTCATTTTGAAGAGTGAGTTTGTTTTTCTTCATGGATGAATCACTTTCTTACATGAAGATTCCTCTAAATGACTTAAGACTCTCACGCTCAGGATTTTGTGAGGAGTCTCAGTCCGCTACATTGTGGGAAATTCAATTACACAAGAAATCCAATGTGGAGGCATCCACATCTAAAAACCATGCAGGATTACATCTTACGGTTGGGCCCAACGAGTATGTTCCTTCCTTGTATGTGTGTAGATAGTTTGTGGTTGTGTTTTGGGACAATAATATAGAGGTTACAAAGAGATTAATTAATTTAAATTAGGTCTTAAATATCAAATTTTAAGAATTTAAAACTCAATCTCTCAATTTTATAATTCCGTTGTAATGAGTTTATAATTGGTATTGTAAATTTTAATAGGAAAAATAAATTTTTTTATTCTTTAACCATGTTAAAATTTAAAAAATAAGTTGTAAATTTATTACAACGTAATTGGAAGATTGAGAGATTAAATTACAAGTTTTTAGAGTTTGATATTTAGGACTTAATTGAATTAATTAATCCTTTTGGGATTTCTTTGCCATTCTCCCTTGTGTTTTTTGTACTAACTTTTTTTTTATAATTTAATGTATTTGATCTTTTAATAAAAAAAAATGTGGAGGCATCCGAGTTACATGTATTATCTTCAAAGTGGAACAATGTTTTTCAAGTGGAATTGAAAATTGACTTGTAAATGACAGTGAGCCATTTTTATTGTTTAGGAAGTTAGATGGGTAAACAGTTGGCATAATAATTAAATAAATAATATATGTATATACATAATAAATTTAAATAATCCACTGTTATAAGGAGTTAACAAACTCACATGGCAACATATACTATGGAACAATTAATTAAAAGTAATATGAATGAATTTTAGATAACATTTATCATTTTTTTATAGTCCTTTATATTAAATATTAGGAAAATATCAGTCAAGGACCTTAGAGGTTATTTATATCAAAAAAGGATTGTAAAATTTTGAAACTTCACTACAGTCTCTTGATACTTTGCTAAAATTAAGTTTTTATAGGAAAAGATTATATTACCCTTAAATTCTAAAATAATAAAAAAGACTAAAATGTATAAAATCCCATTGAACTTTGAAATAGTTTATAACTTACTCACTTTTAAAAGTTTAAAATTAACCCTCCTAACCTTTAATTTTTTTTTTTGCAAAACCCTCTACTGTTAATTATGTTATTTTTTATGAGGGTTAAAATGTCATTCAACTAAAAAATATTATTAAATAAAAATATTACATTGAATAACTATTTATAATAAATTTTTTATATTTTTTGGATAGTTGAGGCATTGATAATAGCTAAAACAAATGTTATTATCACCATATAAAATTTTAAATATTTACTTTTCTGTTAATTTTTTTATATTTTTTTGTTATCATAGTTTTCTAGTATTAAAAGATAAATTAATCTAACATGATAATATTTAAAATTTTAAATATTTTAACTATGTGCATTATATTAATCTAACATGAAAAATATAAATAAAAATTTATCTTTTAAAATGATAAAATTATGCACCATTGATAACAAAAAAAAAAAAGGCATGGATAAAACTAATATAAACATAAATATTTAAAATTTTATATGGTGATAACAATATTTTTTTTTGTTATTGATGCCTTAACTATCCAAAACATACGAGAAATTTATTATTAATAGTTATACATTATAATATTTTTATTTAATAATATTTTTTAGTTGAATGACATTTTAACCCTCATGAAAAAATAACATAATTAATAATAGAGGGTTTTACAAAACAAAATTAAAGGTTAGAGGGTTAATTTTAAATTTTTAAAGGTGAGAGAAGTTATAAACAACTGTTTCAAAATTCAAGAGGTTTTATACATTTTTGCCTAAAAAAATTGTGTGTGAGATTAACAACATGTCATTTGAGTTTTGACAATATTTCATTCGTGCTTAACAATATATTCAAATTTTAACAAAACAAAAAAATTGACAGCAAAAGTTTAGTGGAGCAAGCTTTCACCTTACATAAATAACAAGCCATTCAAGTTTTGACAATACTCTATTAGTGATTAAGAATAATGCATTTGGACTTTAATAAGATAAAAAAAAACTAAGCATAGGTTTAATGGAACAAATACTTACCTCCCATGAATAACAAACCATTTAAGTTTTGACAATAACTCATTTATTATTAACAACAATACATTTGAATTTTAATAAGATAGAAAATTGATATGATGAGTTTAATCATATAAGTATTATTCTTTCATTAACAAGCATTCATTCAGATTTTGAAAATAATTTATTTGAAATTAACAACAAATTTGGACTTCAACACACAAGCTTGTTATTATTATTTTAGACTTTAGGGGTAATGTCATCTTTTCCCGTAAAAACTTAATTTCAACCAGCTACCTAAGGGACTATAGTACAATTTTAGAATCTTACAATCCTTCACTGATATAAATTATCTTCAGAAGTCCTCAGCTAATATTTTCCCTAAATATTAAGCTAAACTATGTAAAATTCTTATGAATTTTGAATTAGTTGCACGTAACTTTTTTCATCTTTAAAAATTTAAAATTAACCTACAAAAAATATCAAATTTTGCATCCTAATATTGAACATTGATTATTTCAATTAAAATTTGAGCATATCCAATTACTTTCATGGACCTATAGACGCACATACGGGCAAGCATACAAACATCCAAATGTTTTCGCCTCCTGTTCCCAATCTCTTCAGTTAGATTTTCATATTAAGGGTAATTGAAAAATATCATAAAAGACTAAGTACTATGATAATATTGATATTTTAAACTGAGGGATCAAATTGTACGGTTTGATCTTTGTAATCAAATGTTCATGACAGCAATGCAACTGTTAAAGATTGTTTCAATAAAAGAACTTCAAGGACATGTCTCTTTTGAGTTGGCCAAAAAAAAAGGACATGTCTTGGTGAGCATATCCATTTGCTTTCTTCTTCTACCTCTTGCCCTTCCTTTATATTTGCATAAAATTACATATAATCATAAAGAGTTGACGTGTCTATGCTAATAATCATTCATAAAGTTTATAGAATTATTATAGACCATTAATGAATTTACAGTGCTAAATCAAAGGTATTCTAGTCAGCTAGTCTTAATAAATAGTGTGAAAGGAATACATTAGTATTTCTCTTCCCAAAATGAGGTTGAAATCAAATCATACTAAAATATGGAGATATTTTATTAGTGTATCAAACCAGTCACTATAATGCCAAAGTGTCTAAGCAAACATTCTTGGCTAAGGCATAATTCCCAACAAAAAGTCCAAATAAGCAGGGTCTTCCTTCTTTTAGTTAATTCCTTTCTTGAAAAGCAGGTAAGAAAATGGGATGATCTTTTAGTATCTCTATTCTCCTTTGCTAGTGTTTAGATTTGTCTTGTCCTTTTCTAGTTATTTGAACACTTTTTCTCAGTAACTTTCCTCCTTAACTTACCATAACATCCAGAAATCGAATGATCATCCTAAATATGAAGTGAAAGGGATTATACAACAAAAGAGGACTTGCTCCTAGGGGGAATATTAGAAGAATATAAACTCCTAGAAATAGAAGTAAGGAAGATGATTCCAATAATCATCACAATGTCAACTAGCCAAGAAAGATTACTCACAACTAGGTGCACACCGGCCATGAATGCAACTGACATAGTAACCAGAGCCAAAACCAACCAAGTATAAAGTAGAGTATATGAAGGCCACACCAACTTTTAAATGATCTGGTGTTTAGTCAAAGTATTTTTTAGCTTTAAAAATTCACTATGGGATCACTTCCATTGAATTTGGGAAATTCAATTTTGGTGTGACAGGCATACATCTAGGCCACCATGAGGCATCGTCGTCTTCATTTTCTTCTTCCCATTGAGAACGAGGTCTTTGCATCAGAGTCTTCCCTGTTACCAAAGTTTCAAGCAGATGTGGCTTTGATTGCAGGTACTTTATCTATCAACACTTTAAGCGTCTCAAGTCTGGATGCTATGGTAGCTAATGGGTCTGATAAAGAAGCAAATGGATTTTTTGAGGCTTTAGGAGGTGATGGGTTGTTGGATGAGCTAGCGGGGAATATTGGAAAGCATGGTCACCATCTCAGACAAGGGTTTGATGCCAAATTGGTAAGTACCAAAATAGTGGGCAAAAACAGTACAGGATATAAATCTATTAATAAGTCTTGTAGAGCAAGAATCTCACTCAAATAAAGCTCACCAGCCAAGGTAGGCAAATCTCCAATGAATGAAAACATTCTTTATTTCTCAATATGACCAGCCTTGATGATTTCTAGCCTATTTATAATGCTGAAGCTACATTAAAATAATTAATAAATAATAGAAACAAACTCAAATGCTGGTGAACCTCCTAACAACCTTTGGTCCACTTATTTAGCTAACAAACTCATGAACAATGTAACAAATATAAAA